AGTCTCTAAAATGATTGCATCTACCAAAAAATTGTTATACAAAAATCATTTGCATTACTAAGTTGCATTTGACTTTATGTTAAAACTGTCCAGCCGAAAGCAAACTTTATGTCTCATTCACAAATCGGGAAAAATAATAAGGATCTCATGTATACATATATATTTCATGCACGCAATATCCAAGTGGAAAACTTTTCTAATTAAAATTAAATAGAAACTTCGCTTGCTGTGAAGTTTTGATTACTATTTGCATTGGTCTTTTACATTCTATTCACACAATTTCGCTTTTTTTCTGCGCATATTCCAAGGTGTAGTAGCTACGCCAAGGAGAAGAAAAAATAAGAGAAGAACAGAAAGAAAGTTGACCCAAAACTTAAACGGGGCCAAGTGGGTGACAAACCTGAAGGTCAATTGGCTGCCTGCTCGAAAGTAAAAGTTTCATTGCTGACAATTGAGTCGGCTCCGCTTCTCAAGTGTCAAAGTTCAAAAAGTGTTAAGGAAAAGCTAAAAAAAAACTGAAGAAAAAAAAGGAAAAACGTTGCGTATTTTTAAACGTGTTCTATAGACAATTATCTATCAATTAGGGCATGAAATGAATTAATTTGAAATAGAGAAATGTAATTATATTATATTATATTATAATCTTAACTTTAAAGTTGAACTAGTTTTGCTAATTATAAAGTAATATATAAATACAAAAAAATATTTTAAAAAGAATGGTAAATACTTTAGCTATAACTTCGATATATTTACAGTTGAATATTGGAATAAATAAAATTTAAAAAAATATATTTATTATAAATAAATGCTATACATAAAATATATAAAAATCTAAAATCATTAAAAGTTAATAGTATAGTGATCCCTATCATTCCAATCCATTTCAGCTATAGTAACTTCATTTAAAAAATCTGTTCAAATAGTGACATAAAAAAGCCAAGGTAATGTAAAGAAACAGACATTAAAAATAATTTGGAGACCAAGAACAGATCCACTTGATGTTGGGCATTTGAATAATGAATGTTAATTTGCATTTAATTTAATAAGAACAGGAGACAGTCATAACTGCGTTCACTTGACTTCCGCTTGAGCTTAAGACACTCGCCAGACCATTAGCCGTGGCCCAGCCCTCAGCCCCCCACTGGGCAGTTCCTCCGTTGAGGGTGCTATGCATAAATTTAGCAGAGCTAGAAAATGAAGGAGACAGAGAGGGAGACAGAGAAAGGGACAGATAGAGCGAGAGAGATTGTTGCGCCTACAATTTACATAATTTATTAACGAGAGTTTGAGCGTCAGCTTCCGTTGGGTAAACTAAGGCCCGGCGCCCGGATCGCACTGAGGCGGACGAAGATGAAGAAGAACGTGAAGAGGAGGAAAAGTGAGGAGGAGGCCCAGTTAGCCGGGTGTGAGCAGTGCTCATGCATAATTAAACACGTAATTAACCATTATTAACAACGTCTGATTTCTGTAAGATCTCCTTGGCTGTGTTACCTAATGAGTTTCGGCGAGTGATTCGGCTGGCAAAAGTTTTTTTTTTTTCAAGTTTGTTGGCAATCAGAGCCGGACGGACACGCTTTTGCCATTTGATTTGTGTGCCCAAAGTGTAGCCCCGAGTTACAGTTACAGTTACGGCCATAGTTATGCAGTTACAGCTACAGTTACAGTTACAGTTGTTAATGAACATTAATTAATTAAACTCGTCTCGAGCGCTGAGTACGTGTTGGCATAGGTACAACTTTTACGCTCGGACAGCTTACAGCCCAATTATGTCAGCTTTGAGAGCCTCTCGGACCATTGTCGTTATTGTTGTTGTTGTTGTTGTTGTTTCTGCTGTGCTTGTTGCGGGTGTTGTCTCTGCGGTCTCGAGCTGACAACAAACTGAAGTGACGCGTCCCTTTTGACTTTTTCAAAAGGG